CACACACACACACACACACAGTGGAATTCTCAATACCCAAAATTTACAGTTCGGACGTGTCCAAGCTCAAGAGAAAACGAACCGAACCTCACATTAACCTGGTGGGAATTCCGGTTCTTGCTTTGCATTCAGTCGTACTGCAGAAGTCAACAGATCCTGTGTTTGTTTGTTCTTTCTCTCCGGATATTTGTTCAGAACACGACTTGAATTTAATTCTTCTGAAACTCATTTTATTCTGAGGAGGAGAAACTTTTTTCGTCTATAAGCTGCTTCCCGAGTCAGGCGGAGGAATTATGCAGCAAACATTTAAACATGATGAGGAGCCACACGCAGACATTTACATAAACAGCTTCTCAAATGCACCAGTGCATAAATGTATTGTTTCGTAAAAGCCGTGTGGATATTTCTGATAACGTGCGACGCTGGAGGAAACGCAGATGATTGATTATTAAGTGTTTCTGAGGGAGCTGTACTTATTTCTTTAGCTGTGGAAGAAGCGTTGTCTATTAATAAAGTGCAACATGCACACTGAGCTTCAGAGCGCGTTCCCACACGACTGCATGTTTTCAGTCTTCACATGTAAACACCCTCACGCATCCGTGCAGGCATGTGCACGTTCAGCACACACAGAAATACACCCTCCACCCAGCCGCACGGAGAAGTAGGCCAATTAAACGTGTTTACTGGATGTTCTGGAAACTGGTTTTTGTCGTCCGTCCTGTGCAGCCACGTCTGAGGGCAGAGGAAACGCCGCTCGACCCCGTTTCCTGGCGTGTAGCCGAGGTCTAGCTCGCTGGTTGTGTTGAGAGCGTTCGTGGCTGCAGGCAGAGGATGGCACTGTGCTTGCTCCCTTTATTCTGTCCGCATCAAAGCTCCGCAGACTCGCACATTTCTCCTTAACGGTTTGTTGTGAACCATCGCAGAGTTTAGACGAAGAACACGGATATTTTTTATGTGTCTCCTCGTTCCTAAATGTGGGTTATTTGTAGCTTAGAGGTATTTAAAGAGGAGGAGGCAGGGTTTAAACCTGTAGCCAGCCACCAGGGGGCGATCAAAATGATTTGGCTTCCCTTTTGAGGAAGTGTTACGTCGTTCATCTTTATAAACGGCCCATGTCCCCGACTCGTCGTACTTTTTGTGATGTGTTGTATCATATTGAAAATATTGGAGACATCCATTTGTGTCAAAACAAGTCGCGAAACAGATTAAAATCGTACATCTTTGATATTTACGTCAAGCGCTGATATTATTGACGTTATATTCTCCGCTCTGGCAGTTTTATTCTGACTTTACACTGACACACACACACACACACACACACACAGCACGGCACTCCATTTCCTGGTTATTAACGTGCACATACTGTAGCTCCAGCCCCGGCAGCATAACTCTCTCCATATATCTTGTTTATTCTCCACAAGTGGGAAGATAGAGACAGGAAGGATCCGTTCTTCTACCTGTTTATTAAAAGAAAAATACTTTTTGCAAATCATGATGAGGAATTCATGTCGTTAGGGCTTTTGTGCAAAGTAAGAAACTTTTGTCAAGTTTCCCATGTTGCCCAGTCCGTGTGTTTCCGAGGGAGTAGATAAAGTTTGTGTGTTTTTCTGCGACTGTCTGTTTGTAGTGTTGTGTTCTCTTGTCCTGCGTCGATACATCTCCTGTCACTTCTTATTGTTTGTGTTCATGTGTCCGCGTGTCCTCGTCGCACCACAATGTGACACTGGTCTTCTCTGGGCCTTTAACAATAACACATGTGGAGTGAGAAGCCAATAACATGAAGCGTTCTTTAGACGTGTGCTGTTTTTGGAATTCGTACATTTTGACCTGAGGACACTTTCCAGTGAGAACGTGGTTCAGGTGAAGTTGTGTCGTAGAAACTCTCTCTCTCCCTCAGCCGTCTTTTCTTCAGACACCATGTTATGAGTAATTACTCCAAGTGGCCTCTCTGCTTTCACACAAAGACCGTAACTGAATCTATCTATTTATTTTCCAGTTCCCTGCTTCATCCGTCGCTCTCCTCCATTACGGCTCATTTCTGTTGCTCTGGGGTAAAAAAAATAAAGACAGCAGGTATTTTCTCCTCTGTGGCACTGAGAGGTTGGCGATGGAAGCCATTATGGGCCTGTGAACGTAATCGCTCCTGGAATCCAAAATAAACACAGCGGAGGCAGAATGACTTTTTCTTCCCTTTCATCCTGACAAACCGAGCGGCCTCTCCACCGCTGTGGCGTCGACAAGTGACCCTGATGAGACCAGCGAGAGCGAGCGTGCTTGTGAAAGGGAGAGCGGCCTGCCAGTCTTACTCAGCCTTTGTTAATAGAATCCTTCATCATTACACATAATCACCTTCTTAAAAAAAAAATCCCATGTGTTTCTCAGTTCTGGGAATTCTTCTCGTTACTGACTCGGCTCAGTACAAAGCAGGAATGTTTTCTCTGATCGGAGAAAATAACAATTACATCAGCCTCTAAACGCAGCATAATAAGATTATATACAAACCACGTTATCCAGAATGAATTCCTCGCTACACGGTGAGTTGTTCGTGGGTTCTGGCTGCAGAGTTTCATTTCCAGCTCACTGCACCGTGCACATCACAAGAAATCGAAATGCTCTGGTTCTGAATCGCTGTTAACTAGACTACACATGCGCACGATGGCTGCTTCGAGTGTCCTGCGTCTGTTTGCTGCGTAGGTTGTGTACACAAGACGCAAAACCCACAGAAAGGTCGGGGGGCAGAGTAGCGAGTCCTTGACAGGGTCAGTGGGCACGTCATCAGAGTCTCTGATTCATTCTTGTATTGTTTTCTTTTGTCATGATCGAAAAACACTTTGTGTGTCTCTCTGTGTGTGTGTGTGTGTGTGTGTTGCAGGTCAGCTGTGTGGAGAAGGCTGGCACCACGTGGACGACGCCTGCCTCAGGATCAACTCCAGCAGGGAGAGCTATGATAACGCTCAGCACTACTGTAAGAACCTGGGAGGAAACATCGCGTCTCTGCTCACAGACAAACAAGTAAACTTTGTTCTGGAGGAGCTGCAGAAACACCAGCTGCAAGACAAGGTGGGTGGTGTGAAGACGAATAAATATAAATTCAGAAACAGAAGAAATGAGGCAGGATTCCTTCACATTTACACAGAGAGACTCTTATTTTCCACTCTGGATTTCCTGCTTTATAAAGTGACTGTTGTTTGTATAGTATTATATTATATGTAGTATTTATACGCAGGCAGAGAGGATAATAAGATAATTGTTTATTGGAAATATACCATAATAAATATAAATTAAATATACAATACAAACACAATTAAAACAGTATCCGGTTTTATAAAGGAACTATCTGAATTTTATTCCTTAAAAAGTTTGTGAGACGACGTTTTTCAACATTTTCCTTCATTTCTCAGAGAATAATGATTAAAAGAATCCGGCATATTATTTCAGAATGTGTGACTGGAGCAGGATCAGATCCTAAAGAAGAAAATCTGGTGAATTTAAACGTGGTTTCATAAATCACACAACAGGAATTCAATCAGATAAACTTTATTGAAGCGAAGCAGGAGGATCAGTCACTGTTTGTGTTTCCATGATTAGATGAGGTTTGGTGTTTCCTCCTGGTGAGAGATGGCGCAGAGTGTGACCTCCTGTTGTCAGACGGCACGACCCCTCATCACAACACAACAAGTCGTTATCACACACACACACACTCATGTCACTGGTGTTTCAGAGGACTGGGTTTAAGACGATACTCCGCTGCTTGAGCTGCTTGAGTTATCGTAGCGTCTCCTCCTGATCATCCTCAGTCCTCATTCTGTCCAAACACACGTTTCTGAGTTTCAGCTGGATCTGACGATGCTTCGGAGCAGAAATCCTCCAAAGGTTCATCTTTCTCAGTGTGAAACTCTCTCTTTGTGTTTGTGCCGCTCGGCTGCGGCTCAGCAAGGAAACGGTCACGGACGCACAATGAGGGAATTTCAAACTTAGAACACTTTCATATCGGGCGTTGACAAATGTGTGTTTGCTATCAGGCGGCCGCGCAATGAAAGAACGGAGAGAAACAAATGAGACCTTTTTTCACAGTCATATCCACGCAGATAAATTCTAATGAAGCGGCTGCATGTGAAAGTCATTTGAGTTTTCACCTGCGAGTGAAGAAACATTTGGCTGATTGATGTGGACGAGCGGACGGATGTTCAGTTCCCCTCAGAGTTGATTATGAGACATGATGCTCATGATACAGCTCCTGTGACTCTGTGATTTATCGTCAGATGCCAGACAATGTGTTGTCTGCAGTTGTTTACGATCGGACGTCGGTTGATGCGTCGTCGTCAGGATCATA